GGTTTTAATACATTTCGTTTCCTGCCAGCACCCTCTTGAATTAAAAGACAAAGGACCCAAGTTCTAGTACTGATACATTCACTTCTCCGCAGCAAACTAAAGAGAAAAAAAAACCTGTCCCACCTACCTTTAGCAGGCAAGCAGCAACAAACCTTCCTTACACCATGTCAGACATTCCTGCGGCCAGCCATGACCAAATGACTCCCCTCCTTTTTTCTTTTTTTCTTTCTTTTTTAATCTGCCTTTTATCTTCCCTCCTTTTTAACCGTGCTTACTGGGAAAGTTAATCAGGGAACATGTGCAGCTCCCTAATTAGCTTTGAAACACAGCTGGGCACTTTCTTTTCTGCGAAGGTGGGCCAACATTGAGCAGCTCCCTGTAGCAAACCTGATGTGCAGCCCTTAGCAAGGTGATCAAGTTTAGCTTCGGCTTCACCTGCTGATTTTGCGGCATGCTGAAATCTACCGGGGGGGGGGGGGGATGCAGTGATGTTTTTCCCTGGGTAAAAATGCTTCTCCCAACAGAATTGGATCAGACCAATTATATTTTAGAAACATAGAAACAGAGCAAGTCAGAAGGGGCCTCCTGGGCTGTCTAGTTTGACACCCACCTCTGGGACCTCACCCGTTCTCCATGAAGCCTCAGAAATGGAGAGTACCCCCGCCAGCTACTGAAGTACCCTCAGGGGCAACCCATCAGGGCCTGGCACCTTTGTAACATCCAGTGCCTTGATGAGCTCCTCGACTTCTAGGGGGTGACTCTTATCTGTGCCCCTAAGTCCCCAGCCTCATCCAGTCCCCCATGTAGATATCCCTCATCCTGCTTTGGGGAGAACACAGAAGCCAACTAATCATTTAGCATCTGTGCCTGTCCCCTCACATCAGTCACTGAGTCCTCTTCCTCCTTATTAACTGGTCCCACCACTTGTCTCCCCTTCCTCTTGCCATTTACATGTTGATAGAAGCCCTTTTTGTTGCTCCTGGTATTCTTTGCAAGTCTCAGCTCATAATCAGCCTTAGCCTTGTGAAGAATCCTTCTGAAACAAGCCTCCTCCTCCCGGTATACCCTCCCCGCCTTGCTAACTAAGCAGGATCTTGTGCCTCCAAGACCACTCCTTTTAGCGCCATCCACCTCACCTCAACTCCCTTGCCTCCCAGTACCCTCTCTCAGGAGACTTCCCCAGTCTGGCCTTCAATTGACTAAAATTGGCGCTTTTGAAATCCCAGCTTCTAATACTTGACCTGCTGTGCACCCCCATTCCCCTGGCCTCAAAGCAAAGGACGGAGTGATCACTCGCATCCAGAGTTCCCCTAATCTGCACCTCATCTATCAGTTCCTCCCAGTTGGTCAAGATCAGGTCAAGGATATTCCCCCCACCCCACCCCATTGCCTCCTGGACCCTCTGTGTGAAAAAGCCTCCCTCTATAGCATCTAGAAAGCAACATTAATTGGCCATTACCCCCGAGTGTGTCTCCCAACTAATATCTGGGAGACTGAAATCTTCCCTATATTATTTATTTATTTAAAACAATAAAAACATTTAAAACCCCCCGGTGCATTCTCAGCTAATTTAAAATCCTAATAAATACAATAATTTAGCAATTAAAATAAGTTTTAAATAAAAAGGTCTTAGCCTGGCACCGAAAAACAAATAACAACGGCGCCAGGCAGACCTCTCTGGGGAGCGCATTCCATAGATGGGGCGCCACCGCAGAGAAAGCCCTCCTCCGGGTACTCACCCTCCTAATTTCCTTCACGGAGGGTTCCCGGAGAAGGGCATCCGTTACTGTGTCCCTCCCCCAAGATATCCTTTGAATCTGGTCTGTCAGGGCATCGTCAAGGATCTCAAGTTGACTTGGTGGGTGATAACATACCCCCACTGTCAGGTCCCACTCCCTCATTGAAACCTTTTAGTTCCACCCGGACCACCTCTACCAGATCCCCTTCTGTGCCACATTCTATCTCATTGCATCCTATCCCTTCCTTGACGTATAAAGCCACGCCCCCACCTCTCTTTCCCTTCCTTTCCTTTCTAAACAGGTGATACCCCTCTATCTTTACATTCCAGTCTTGCCTTTCATCCCACCAAGTTTCCATGATCCCCACCAGGTCATACCTTCCTATTCCCAGGAGAGCCTCAAGCTCTTCCTGCTTGTCACCCATGCTCCTGGCATTGGTGTTCACGCATCTCAGCTCCTTCCCACAGATCCCTTTCTTTGGGTCTCCCAGCAGCCTCCTTCCTCCCAACTTCCCTGATACTGGCCTCCTCTTCATAGGAGTCCTGCCAGCCCCGGCAGGACCTCTAGCACCCTGGTCCCAAACCCTGGTCCTCTCTCCTCACCTGTCCCATCAGGACAAGTTTCTGGGGGCCTTAAACTGAACCTCCCTGTGGTTCAGTTTAAAGCCTTCCAAACTAAGCTCTCCAGAGCATTTTTGAAGGACCTTTCCCCATCCTCATGAGGTGCACCCCATCCCTTCCCAGACATGTATTGCCAAGAAAACAGGTGCCGTGGTGGAGGAATCCAAAGCGTTCCTTCTGATACCACACTGAGCCTGTTGTTCACCTCAGCAACCCTCCTTTCCCTGGCTGGCCCAAATCCCTGGACTGGCAAGAGAGGAAAAGATCACTTGGGCCTTTAGGTCCCTGAGCTACAAAGTCCCTAGTGATCCTGCCACCTCCTGCCTCGCCATGTTGTTTGTCCCCATGTGGATCACCAGAAGTGGCTGGTAACCCCCCAAGGGAAGAAGACGGTTACTCTGTCACACAACAGATGTGTGTGCCTGGCAGGCAGCAGACCTCCCTCACCTCAAGGTCAGGGTGACACATTGCTACCTCAGTCCCCATAATTCAGTTGAGAGAGAAATCTGTGATCAAACAAGGACAACTTCTTAATCTTGTCACTTATGGATCAGTTTGATGGATGCGAAGGGAAGCACTCTGTTGAGTGCAGCTGGGAAGCAACACAGATTGTTGGGCCCAAGGCAAAATTTGAATAACAGTCTGCAACACTATTTTTGCATGGCACCTGCTTTGCCATGGCTTGATGTGTCATGCAAAACCAAGTGGTGGGGTTGAGCGCTGGGCAACCCTAAAATAAGTAAAATGTCACGGCAAGCCAGTCACCCATTAGGCGCCAAGCAAAATGGCACCCACAGGCATCTAGCCCAGTGCAATAGCCCTTGCGGGTAAATTAACTCATGGCGAGCTGTCCTATTGCGCAAACCAGTTCTTCTAGTAAGCAATGTGACTTGTATCGCATGCCTTCTTTTTGTAGATCTTTTAAAAAATAATCATGGTTATGTGGGTTGCCCTGATACCAAATTTCATCACAGCTACTGCAGCATAGTTGACCTGTATTTACAATACATGTTCTGAGAAGTAAATGTACAAAATATAGGAAATTGTGGTTGAATTCAAGCATAGCTCTACACTTCTTGCTGTCTGTGGAAATCACCACCCTGCCAAAGGCTAATTCGAGTTCATACATGGGAATAAGATTTTTTCCTAACTTACCTTAACCTATTTTGAATGACAGTAAATGTCCCTTTTTCATATATTTCCTATACCCCAATATGCATTAAGGGACTGCAGGTGGTGCAGTGGTTTAAACTGCTGTGCTGCTGGGCTGGTTGATCGAAAGTTTGCCGGTTCAACTCTGCACAACAGAGTGAGTTCCCATTGCTCTGTCCCAGCTCCTGCCAACCTTGCAGTTCGAAAGCATGCAAATGCAAGTAGATGAAAAGGTACCACTTCAGTGGGCAGGTAACAGCATTCCGTGCACTTCGGTGTTCAGTCATGCCGGCCACATGACCACAGAGACTGTCTGCGGACAAACACTGGCTCCCTCGGCCAGGAAACAGAGATGAGCACTGCCCCCTAGAGTCAGGCATGACTGGACTTAATGTCAAGGGGAAACCTTTACCTTTACCTTTAATATGCATTAAATTCAACTTTCATTAAACAGATATACCAAGGATTTGTTGAGGAAGACAAATTTGCCTTGAAAGACAGCTATAGGCTCAAACCTGTGCATGTCAGATATAAGAGTTCAACTACTTGCTAGCATGTGGAGTTGTATGATTGTTTTCCTGTAAAAACATGTATCCTAAAAAATGAAATATAACAAAATTATATCCCTTCGTGTAAGAGTTATTAACGTATCAGCACATAAACATGCACTACGCAACTATATATGCTATTTAACAAAAATTAAGTAAGATCCATATCTAGTCAGACTAAACCCACTGAAATAATTGGGACTTGAGTGATGCTTAACTTTTTACTGATTTCAATGGATGCACTCTTTAAGTATAGCTAAATTTGGATCTAATCTATTTAATGCTAAATTAACAGATCAAGTAACAGGTTTGACCATAACTTGTATTTTAGCCCTAATACATTCCTGGCTGCTACCAGAAATTTTCCAGGAATATGTGAAGGAGCAGAAGTCCTAGAACATTCTATATCTGGAGAGCCAGTGTGGTGTAGTGGTTAAGAGTTAAGACCTGTGCCTCCCGAGGAAAAAAAATGTACAACTGTCCAGTTGTCCTACATTTAGCTCTAGCAGTCAGGGCCCCTTTGGCTACATGGGTACATTTGCTAGGAACAGCTGGAAGACAGGGATACATCTGTTTCCACACAGGATTCCCGAGTTGTCTCCCTTATCTCTTTGCAACAATCCCAAGCATTACCTGAGCAGCTTGGCAGGTTAACTAGTCATCCAAGGCATCAGCTGATCTGAAAACAGCCTGAGATGGGGAAGAGGAATTAGAAACGACAGTGCTGATGGTACCCCTTTACCCTGCAAACAGCCAGTTGAATTGGCCTATTTACGTATCTCCCACAGGAGCAGCAAGGGCCCCCACCCAGTGAAGGGGGCTTCTCCAGAGGAGTGTACCAAGCCAGTGGGTAAGGAATGCTCCCCATGGAAAAGCAGAAGAAACCAAGAGTGGCTTCCAGGAAGAGCAAGAAGAAACAACTTGTCAGTATAGAACAGAGCCCCGGTTTGTTTAACATTTATTTTCCACATTTTAAGTTATTATTATTCAGGTCTCACAGTTTTCTACATTAAAATATTGTCATGCTTCTCTCTCCCCGCACATCCCCATGGGTCTCTCTCCACTGTCCAGAGAAAAATAGAATTGTCACAACTTTGATGGAATGTGCTAGAATAAAGAACAGACTACTGCACCCAAGTTACAGAGCACACAGACCAAAAAACAGGACAAGGAGGATCTGCATAGGAGATAGCATAAGAAGGCTGCGTGGGGGAGATTCTGGGACCTGCGCCTTCTGTGCAGCTCAAGTCACCACAAACTCTCTGAGCAACCCCCTGGTTGTGGTCTAGGATGTTGCCAACAGTTTTCAGTCCTCATCACTGAAGCTGGAGTGGCTCCAAGGAAAAGCCTAGAAAGCAAAATCGAGGCAAAGACAAACAGATCTTATTTGTTCCTGGGCTTTGCAATTCCATACAAGCATTTGACTGCTGATGACACACACACTGAGCGTCAAGCTAGTTCTTGGGCAGCTGAATATGACTAGCCAATTTCGTGTCCGGAAGGTGGTTTAAAAACAAACCTGAGGTTAGCCATGGTTCAAATCCAGTGTCGTCCAAAGGGATGCTTAATAACAGAATTTAAAATATCCCTTCACATGTTGTGTTTGCCTTTACCGTTTCTACTTCACTTGGTAAACATCTGATTAAATTAACCAGAGTACTCCTTGGTATGGCCTTCAAGGGACCAGGCTATAGGATAATTATATCCTTCCAACTAACTTTATTCAAATATTGACCCGTTCTGAAAGTGATAGCATTAGGAAGATTAACACTGTTCAAGACTGAGATCCATTACTTGCAGGCACAACTACTCAGCTGGCTGAGTTCTCCAGCCTCAGCTCTCCTGCAGATTGAAAGTGTAAATGCCGCAGGAGGTCCCCGTTCTGCAGTCATGTCTTCGTCACAAAATGCATGCCTGTGCAAACAAGCAGTGGTCCTCATGCTCAGTTCACAGAAGAGGTAGGAATCACGTCCCGGTTGAAATGGCAAGCGCCAGTGTGTGCAAACATGGCAGCGCCCTCGCCGTGCGATTTTGCAGCCGTAATCGAAGCGAGCAATGAGGTGTGGGTTGGGCGTGCCACTAGAAGTCATCCTGCTCTGTTGCATGTATGTCTCTCCCTCTTTCTCTCTGTCAGCAAACCAGCGTAGAGGGCCACCTGTTCTGCACAACAGCACAAAGTGGCTGAAGTTTTGCACAACTAAGGATGGCCGGCCAAGGAGTAGAGATTTTCCTCAGTGTGCTCAACTACACCTTCCATGATACTTTCTATTTGTTTCACAGTCCAGTGAACAGTCCATTGCAGCCCCAACTGCTTCCTTCCCCCAAGACTGCGTACAGATAAATTCTTTTAGTAAACCAAATGAAGGGCTGTGAAGATAGACCATGTCCCCTTTATCTAAATGTAAATTACTTAAGAATTGGGAGCTTGAGTAGATGCATATTTTAAACTCTGTTATTAGCTTGAAACATCAGGAACACTGGAACATATATCTCACTTATTCTTGGTTTAATTACAGGAATGACAAGTAAACACCAACACAGGGGAAGAAAACCCAGCGTTTGATGGAGCTCAAGGTGCAGCTAGGCTAGTGCTTTGCAGTCGAGTCTCGGGGATAAAACTCTGCCAGTGTGTTCTGAGGGATTCTCTTCAGCATCTCCTTGGGGAAGATACGTAGCAGCTGCCAGCCAATGTCCAACGTCTCATAGACTGTGCGGTTTTCATAGGGCCCTGAAAGAACAATCACTGGCACAGTCACATCACTGGGGTAAAGACCAGGACACTGAGAACATGAAAAGCACTTTCAGCTCTTTCTGAGCATTTGAAATATGATATAGTTACCCTGAGCAATGAAGTTCCTTTCAAACTTCTGCAGGAATTCAAGATAGAGAAGGTCATCTGAAGTCAGTGCTTCTTCCCCTACAACAGCCTTCATGGCTTGGACATCCTTCCCAATAGCATAGCAGGCATACTAGGAGAAAGAATGAAAAAAAAAACCACACACCTTGCGGCACCTCAAAGATGAACAACTATGGCACAAGCTTCCATGGATGAGAGCCTAGTCAGGCTGAGACAGGTAGACAAGATACCATTGCTCAAGAAGGACAAGCTTTTAAATATTAGGAATCTCAAGGCCATCCTTTCACTTCTAAGGCATGCCCACTTGTGACTGGCCACACCTACCAGCTGGTTTGAAACATCGGCATGATCCTTCCGAGTCATCCCTTCTCCAATAGCAGACTTCATCAATCGAGACAAAGAGGGGAGGACATTGATTGGTGGGTAAATCTGGAAGGAGAAACAGGTTTTAACACCTCCTCTGAAAATTAAGAGCTGCACAGAAATGCTTAGTCACAACTAATGTAAGTCCCATTGATTTCCCTGGATCAACTGAGTCTGAATCCAATCCATAATCCAAAATGATTTGTCTGACACTTCCACTGCGCTTCTCTGCTTAAAGGTTGTAGCATTCTAAATATTTTTGCCCCTTCTCAGTTTCACAGAATATAGAATTAGGCATCTGCTTCCAAACAGATTTCTTCCTTTGACTGACAATTGGTAGCAAAAGAAATCTTTCACTAGCATGGCATCAAATAAGAATTATTCCTGCTGGTGTTAAGGAAGCAATAATTTCATCACATACGTATTTCCAAAAACACGTGCACCTTCATATTAGAGTAATATTTTCCTGCTTGCAATTAGGGGCACTCTGACAATGGAAGTGCCCAGACTTGCATGGCTGCTGGTCTCAAACAGTACAGCTTGGCTGGACAAATCCTCTGTTAAAGAGTCCTACAAGCCCAGCATCTTCACAAAGCAGGCTTAAAAGGGTAGAAAGCTGTATCCCAAAGACATCCTGAAGAGCGTCCCCCAGTTTAACTTATTGACCTGTCTGTTGTGGAGCTGCCTGTCAACGTAGATCTGGCCTTCAGTGATGTATCCCGTCAAGTCAGGGATGGGATGGGTAATATCTGCAAAAGACGTTATGTTGCATTTTCAGTTTTTCCCAATGATTGAAGGCAGCAGAGCATACTGTTGTGAGGCACAGATAAATTTGCTCAAACAGGAGATGTGGGGAAAATAGGCAAGCCCTTTATGGGTATGGATACCAGTAGCCATACTCCTAGGCAAATAAGTGGCCAGCCAGTGCCTTGAAAACAAGGATTGCTATGGTGCTTTTCCCATGGGACTGTATGAATTTGGACTGTACAAGCATGGGCACTGGCGGCTGAGGTGGAATATCTGAAGGACTCTGCACTGGCAGAAAGGAGAGGTTTTTTTTAATTTATTTATATCCTGCCTTTTTCCTACAAAGGGCTCAAGGCAGCTTACATCATTCTCCTCCTCCATCTTATCCCCACAACAACAACCCTGTGAGGTAGGTTGGGCTGAGAGTCTGTGACTGGCCCAAAGTCACCCAGTGGGCTCCATGGCTGAGCGGGGACTCCAACCCAGGTCGTCTGAGTCCCAGTCCCATGCTCTTAACCACTACGCCACACTGGCTCTCACTGGCTCTCTTTCCCTCAAGAGTTGAGGGAAAGAAGCACCATCGATTGCTGGGTGAACCTCTCACCTCTTGGCCTGTGGGGGCTTGCAAGATAGTCTGGAGCCTATAGCTGGTACAAAATGCCGCCACCTGGAAATGGGTGCAGAATCACATAATTCTGATTTTGTGCCAGTTGTACTGGCTGTGAACAGGTTTCTAGGTTCAACTCAGAGAGTTGGTCTTAGCCTTTCGTTCCTAACCAGTTTATACCAAGTTATCTGAACGACCATCTTTGCTCGTTGAATTCTATGGATACATTACGGCTCTCTATAGACGTCCTTCTCAAATAACTGCCCTTAGAATTGGTTAGATTAGTACATGTGAGAGGCCTACCTAGACTTCGGGTTGATGGCCACCTTCCAAGAAATGTCTGCCTTGCCCCTCCAGTTCAGGCATTTCGATGAATCTTGAAGATTTCCCATTTCAGTGCTGCTTTTAGTTTAGACTACCTATTGCTCCCATGTGCAGATCAGATTCCCAAATATACTGTGTACACCTTTCTCCCCAGTGCTTTCTACTATATTAATTGTGCCTTGTCTCAATAGTTTTTTGTATGTCACTTGATAAGAGCAAAGCAATTAAAATGTTGGTCAAATATATGAAAATAAAAGGATTCCCACCCCAGGCAAATGAGCTGGCCTTAGCTACAGATGGTATTCTGATGTTATTATTAAAAAGTCATTAGGAGTATTTTTAAGAAACAAGTGTAAAAGGGTTCAGGTTGACTCCCACCAAGATAGCAGTGTTTGAAGATTTGATTCTCTGACCTAAAAGGAAACTGGTCTGCCAAACAGGTTATTGTTGTAAACTTCAGCCTACACTGGTCATATACAAAAAATGGGAGAAACAGTGAAAAAAGGAAATGTGATTAATTACAAACCACGTTAAGCAAAAAACAAAAACCTCACCATCATTGGGCATAGTAAGAATAGGGATCTGAGTAATGGATCCATTCCTGCCTTCTACCCGTCCAGCTCGTTCATAGATAGTCGCCAGATCTGTGTACATGTAACCAGGGAAGCCACGCCGGCCTGGCACCTCTTCCCTGGCTGCTGAGACCTGTGGGGAATTGAGGCAAAGAAAAGCTTAACCAAGGTTGGGATGACTGACAGAAACAGACAAGTGAACTAGGAAAAAGGATGCTGCAGATGAGGCTCACCATCTGATAGTGAATTTCCATATGTCCTTTGCTATATTACCCCCTTTCAAACTGGATTTCTGCCCTGCTGGCTGGATCACTGACAGCTCAGCTCCCCTCCCCTTCCTTCCCTGATTGTCACATGGATCCCGAAGAACAGGAAAAAATGGGGAGCATGCCCCTTGCTGTGAGGAGTCCTGCCGGTGCCCATCTCACTTGACTCTATGGCAGTATTTGAAAGAGCCTTCATTGCCCTTTGTGAGTAATCAGGAAAACCAGCACCTCCTGATTTTACATGGTGGAGCCATGTAAAAGCTGGCATGGAACTGAATTAATGACATGTGGATCCCTTCTTAAAAGTTTCTGATTTCCCTATGAATTAACAGGGGTTCTCTTAGAAAAGGGCCAGTCCGTTGAACTGGGTAAATGAAGTACCTCTCTCAGAGCTTCTGCATAGGAGCTCATATCTGTCAGAATGACTAATACGTGCTTCTCACACTGATAAGCCAAGAACTCTGCTGTAGTCAAAGCCAGACGGGGTGTGATGATGCGCTCAATACTGGAAAAGAAAAATACCATTAACTTTGTCCCAGAATGGGGGTCAACACTAACACAAGTACTCGTAGGTATCCACTTTCAGAAAAGAACAGTTTGGAAGAAGAACAGAGTCAAGATGCATTGGAAAGAATTCAGTAGTTCAGGCATAACATTTCTTTCTGTCTATGCTATGAAAAAGGCTGTATCAGACTTCCTTTAGTAAATGGAGAGACTTCTATAGTGGAGTGGCCAAAAGCAGGAATCAGAGACTAAAGGCATAGTCAGACAACGCCCTTATCTTATGCCTCTTTTAGTAGGAAGAGAAAGTGCCTCTTCCCTGGGCACTCCCGTCCCCCACCCAGATACCCGCAGATGCCCAAACAGTAGGGCTTATGTGCATAAAATCAATGGGCATACATCTGGACGATAATTTGGCTATCTTGGGTAAAACTGATAATGTCACCCGAGCACCCATGAGTGGAGCTTGAATAAATATACCTATTCTGAGCGTTACCCTTCCCAAGTGAGCTGATAAGGATGATGCTCTCTGGCATCTCTCCACACACCCGCTAGCAGGACAGGGTGATCCACCCCAAGCGAATCCAAACAGTGTTGCCTGAACGTGCAACCTTGCAGCTCACTGCAGGAACCACGTGACATGGTGCTCCATGCATTTTATGCCTGCTGGATTAAGAGTGTTGCACAATGTTCAAGGCAATCCTCCGGAGTCTAAGGAAGGGGAGGCAGTTCATTGCTAAGAGGCAGGACAGCTCCTCTTCGTTGCGCAGCTGCATCTCTCTTCTTAGTGCCAGAGCAGAACACCATCCCATTTCTCTATGCTCTTTTTTGGGGCAGGCAGAGTAGCTCTGTGTGTTGACTAACGGTGTTACGGAAGCAGTTCCCTATTTATTGTAGGCCATCTTTCCAGGACAGAAAGACACATGTTAATCGATCATGTGCTTCTGAGCTTTGAACAAGAGCTGTCCTGACCACATGTAAAATATCTTTTTCTGACACTGAACTTCCTAAATTCAAGAAACTTCCCCTTTCTTAGAAACCATTCCACCATTCAGTAATCACCTTTCAGCTATTTCCAAAATAGGCTTTGATTTCTTCTTTTTTTGTTCCTGTTTCCTTCAGAGTAGAACACCACAAAATGTTATCTACTTACGTTGGGTCATTGGCCAAATTCAAGAACAGACATACATTGTCCATGGAACCATTTTCCTCAAAGTCAGATTTGAAGAACCGAGCGGTTTCCATGTTTACCTGTAGCAAAGCATTGAGAAAGCAGCTGCAAAGTCAATTATTACTTGTGGAAGAAGCTATCAACGTAAAAACTGGTGAGTGCCATCAATTCTCCTACTGCTTATTCATAACTAAGGGTGCATACACTCTGTACGCTCCTGAGATTGTCCCTGAGCTCTGCCAAAGCAAGCAAAGAGTTGTCAGCCGGTGAAGGATGGAACTTGATGTGCAGGACGCATGACATATTGGTTAAGAATGGAAGTTAACGTATAAGAGGTATGACCTTCCCATTCTTCCTTGAGTCAGCTCTTTTCTCTTTCTACCACCACCTTTTCTCTCTCTCTCTCTGCACAACCATCTGGTGAGTTGCTGAGCGAGATCTTGGCCCAGGCTTGAGCTAATTGTTAGTTCATGGGAAACAGGACACGAGGCTGCAGGTGGCACACCATGTTATAAAACAGGAACCTGAGGTAAGAGCTGCCGAAGCTGTGCTTCCCACCATGTTCTCGTTCTGTTCACCTGCCCTGCAGCATGGCTCACCCGCAGTCTGGCCCACTGCAGAGGGTACGGGAAGGTGCAAGTACGTTTGAAAGGGGTGGAGAGCAAGCCCGTTGGGTAACTGAGCGGTGCTAGTCTTTCTCCTCATAAAGTATCAGCTGCAATGTCAAAACAGGGCCTTTTCTGAAGTGGCCCCTAGCTGTGCAGATCTCTTCCCTGCAAAGCTTGCCTGCTTTGGTGCCTTTTTGGCACCAAGCTAAGCCACTCCTTAGCCTTTTACGTTCTTCTAGGCCTTCAAAAATTCTACCTCTTCAGACATTTATACCGGAAATGCTTTTAGCGCTTGGCTGTTTTTAGCTCCTGAAGCCTGTATTTTACTATAGTTATATTATGATTATTTAATGGCTTTTTAAATTGTACAGTGTTTGGGGAACTGTTTTGTGCGTGCGTGCGTGCACACACGGACAGAGTGGAAAATGAAAGCACAGAAGCAAACATACTTCACAGTAGAAAAGAAATCAGTCCTTACGAGAGCTCATTTCTTATCACATATGCCTGCTTTCTCTGGATGCTTCTCTTCTCGACTGAGGTCTAAAGATCAGTTAAGTTCTTTTATGCCGATGTATGACGCTCAACCCCAGCTACTTAATTTTGCCTCAGGTTGCCAGAAGTCGGAGATGACTCAATGGCACATGACAGCGACAGGTGCCCAAGCATGCTGTGTGCTCTTGCGTGGATGCTGTTCTGCTGCAGATAAATGTAAGATGGAGCTTCTCGTGTCAACTGGGTTGATGAACCTCATGGGCCAAATCCAGCCCAAGCAGCCCTTTGGGGTTCCCCAAATAGTCCCACCTGCTTTGCCCTGACTACCACTTGTTTGACAGCTTCCTAGATTTTTCATGAGCAAAATCCCATTCTAAAAGGTCGTTAGTTTCTGGCAGAAAGAACTTTCAAATAGGCGGAGGTTTTTGGACTGGCCCCTTCAGCCTTGGGCTTTGCCCATCACAGGAACTGACCCCTCTCAACAGCTTCCCTGAAATTCAGTCCAGCCCTTGGACAGAAATAGGGTGAACACTCTGATTTAAATGCATCTCTGACATGGCTAGCACACAGGGCTACAGATCAAGAACAAGAGCACCTATTCCATGGGTGTTTAGCCACTTACGCCCATAGCAGCAAACACAATGGCAAAATTCTCTTCGCTATAGTCCACCACGTCCTTGGATTTCTTCACCAAACCTGCCTGGCGACAGATCTGAGCTGCTATCTGAAAGGAAAATGTTGAAAGAAAGAGCTGCTCATGCCGGCAACATACAAGGCATCCGTTTTCAAGAAAAACATGCCATGGGAAACAGATCTGAGAATCTGTTTTTCACATATGAACTTTAAGAACAAGGTGGTCTTTGCTTCATTTCTGGTTTGCTGCTAAACATGATGGCTAGCAGGCGGGAGAGGGGTAATCACACACACTCCTTCCCTGCAACATATATACAGCCTAAGAAACTGTATGCCCACCAAGCAGGAATCTACCATGTCAGAAATGATTCAGAAGAACTCAGACTAATAAAAAAACTCACATTGGAAAAACTCTGTCTTAGAAACCATACTTGTACCAGACCAGAAGCCTTCCTCTGAGGCGCTTTAGGTGCTCCCATCAAGGGAGATATTGCAAGGGGATGAGAAAGAAAGGGCCTTTTCAGATGGCGTTTGCCTGGCAGCTACTTCACTTGCCTTTTCAGAACTTTAAAGGTGAAGACCTTTTTATTTTCCACTTAGCCTTTTGAAACATGTTGCGGCTCCTGAGGCTGTTTTAGCTCCATTGATTTTACTTTGTGTGCTCTGTTTCCTTTGGGCTGTTTTGAAACAGCCTTATTTATATTGCATGGCATTCTAATTGTATTGTTCGATTTTTAATTGTTATTATGTGAGCTACACCAGGAAGACATTATAGGGTGGCCCATAATACTGTAAAAAAGGTTTCCTTGTATGAGTTTTAAAACAGGGGTCTTGACACCTTACCAGGAGTACCAGAGACTGAATTTTGGGCCCTTTCACATACAAAGTTGACAATGAAACTATGGTCCTTCCCATAGCCACCACACACATGCAAAACTATATAAAAAGTCCTATCTGTCAATGTTTTATGATGTGGCCAATAAAGGGTGGCAGGAATATGGCGCAAGGATTACTTTCTCCCATCTGTCTATGCAAGATGCTAGAAAGTGTCATTTCTTTTTAAAATAATATAACGGAGCAAGCCAGAGAGCAATCCAACCCTATGTACACAGACAATATCCTTTAGTATTTGTTATTTGTTTAGTAAATCGTTATTTGTTTTTCGGCACCAGGCCAAGACCTTTTTATTTAAAAGTTATTTTAACTGTTAATTTATGAATTGTATTTATGGGGTTTTTATGTACATGCCGAGATGTTTCCGGTTTTTTAACTCTAATTGTATAAACTGTTTATTTATGTTTATTTATTATTGTTGTAAGCCACCCTGAGGCTTTTTGCGAATGGGGCGGCATAAAAATGGTTTAAATAAATAAATAAATAGTATAGTTACCACCACCATCCCCTTGCACAGTATTGAATAGGCTTAGCAGAATTGAACCATTGTAGCAGTAGCTTGTCTTTCCCCACGAAGGGCTGTTAAAGCACTTACCTCATTATGGGGCAACCCAGCAGCTGAGAAAATGGGAATTTTCTGACCTCTGGCAATACTGTTCATGCCATCTATTGCAGAAATCCCAGTCTGAATCATTTCTTCTGGGTAGATTCGACACTGAGGGTTGATTGGTTGACCTATTTTATTTTAATAGAAGAAACCTACCATTTTTAATCCGCATTAGATTAAAGTTTCAGAAAAGGAAATTAAATATATCATATTAGTGCAACATTTCTAAGTCCAAAGACTTCTGTGCTGAAAGCAAATCTTCCCAACATTTTATTGATGGCTACATGTGTTTAAAGGGGCCTGATATTTCTGATTATTTCCAGAAGATCTGGGAGGAAAGCAGACCTATCAATGCAGTACTGATAGGCTTGAAAAACTCACCATGTTCAGATATTATGAGGGGGAAAAGTCAATCATTAACAAATTATGGATTATCTACAAAGGAAGATTTTTGAAGCCTTCTTTGTTCACTTTTGTGGCTATGTAACTGAAGTCTTTGTGAATCTTCGTGCAGTTAATATTACGGGAGAACTAGAAATCGATTTTCTGAATGAACTCTTAAAGGGTGAAGGAGCTGGCTCTTCTCTGGGACTGTTTGCAATTTAGAACAGTAAATCAGGAGTTAATTAACCAACAATTTGTGGGAATATACATCATGTGCAATTAAATTGTAGCAACAACATATTCATAGATTAGCATGATATCTGAACCTTTGGGTTATTGGTTGGTTAGACAATACAAAATTAACCTCTGAACAAACCATTTTGCTGCCAAATGCTGTTGTTGTGTATGAACCAGCTTCCTGTGTCAGCATCTACTAGGCAGAACACAGATGGCTTCTACCTGAAACAGTTTTCACACGTAGTTGAAAACAGTTTATTTCAAGGAGAATGCTTGAGATGTTTGCATTATTTGAAGTTGGCTAAAAAGCTTAATATCCTATTTCAGTGTTTTAAAAAAATCTTTCGGTTCATTTGCACAGACTGTTTAAAGCTGACTTGTTTTATTATCTGCTCAGTGCACTGTTTAATATGGAAAACAAACAGAATCAAGCATTACATCTGTATATGACTGAAACCCACTTCTACCAGCTCCACTTCTGAACATGGAGGTCTTGGGAAGCACCATCCTATTTTTTTGCACACATAAAACTGATCTCTAAAAACATGACAGTACAAGCAACCAATTGGTTAACCTCCAGGTTTATACAGTAGACATTCATGCTGAACAGGCAGTTTTGATAAAATAAACTGCAAGCCTATCTCTGGAACATTAAAAGGCAAACTTCATGTTGACAAGATGCACCTACCCATGATATCGAGGTATTCTTCAGCTAATACCATAGGGCCCCTGTCTATGGGTTTTCCTGATCCATTAAACACGCGCCCTGCAAAGACAAGAACAAAAGAGCAGGTACCTTAACAGAGTGGCAGGTAACACTGTGCATGGAAATTGGCATAAAGGGCACTTATCCTTCCAAGAAAGAGAATCTTGTACCTACCAAGCATATCTTCAGATACCGGGGTTCGAAGGATATCCCCAGTAAATTCACAAGAGGTTCTCTTAGCATCAATTCCTGAAGTTCCCTCAAAAACCTCAAAATGAAAGAAAGGCAAATATTTCATTTTTAATTTTTTGTTTAATCTGGAATTTGCTGCAACTGCCAATCTATTTGTTGCAATCACTTAAGCAGATTAGGGAACAAACATAACATTTAATAAAAGAATGATTAACACAACTCATCCACAACTCCAGTTCAGTTGTCTAAGCAACCCAAAGAATTTCAGGGAAAAATCCCCCCAAATTTGACCAATCTGCAGCTGCAAAACAAGTATGAGGGTATAAAGCAATCCAGTCAGAAGTCATAGGTTAAACTCAATGATCCGGTAAAGCAAGACAAAAGGGGGGTTCTTTAATTAGATATGTAAAGAAAAGAAAGTCAAGACACTAACAGTGCAACCTGATTGGCTGGCTGTAGTCCTCTGCAGTCAGAGAATTTTGGATATCCTGCTAAGGGCAGGAGGATAATGGAGATGAAGGTCTCCCTATTTCTTCCACCCTACAAAAGCCTTAGGCAGCTGATTTGTCTAAATCTTCTACCCCTGTTTCTGTGGAGGAAAGGCTAGGAAACCTCATATCCCAGTGTTAGAACCCTGGGTTCCAACTTTGCCAGTCAGGAGAGAGACAAGCTAGAATTGTGGGTTTGGAGAAAACTCAGGCTAACTTTTCAAAGTCCTGAAGCTTTTCTTTTATCCAAGAACATACCCAGGAAAAGTCACCAGTTCTGTCACGCTGGTTGCCCAATGTTTACCTGAACAACAGCTTTGGATCCACTGACTTCTAGCACTTGTCCACTTCTCTTTGTTCCATCTGGTAGCGTCAAATGAACAATCTCTGCATACCTAGGAAACTAAGCAACAGGAATACAGGTTAAGTGGGCCAAACAATTTGACCACAGAACACGCGCACGGCATCAACAGTGCACAAGCATGATGCCACTCTCTTTGCTAGCTTATGGCATGAACTGAATCCAAGACAACTTAGGTGAATGCAAAGCTAAAGAATTTAATCATATATCATTTGGCATTTACCATTCTGTTTAGTCATTCAGCTTGTGGCTCACATGCCATCCTGTTACTAATATAATACTGTATGATTCTACAACTGACATGGAATAGTGTTTAGTTCTCCTTCTCTAGAAACAACAGAATGTCTACAGCTACTTATCTTTACTCTGGAGGGGTGCGTTTCTATGTGCCTCGCAATACCAACGTACAATGCTGATCAAGGGGTGGTGGTGAGAGGGTATCCTTGCTCTCTTGCTAGCCTTATCTATGGCCTTCTACAGAGCATTTCAACTAAATCTGAGACACTCTAAAAGCTGACACAGCACAGTGCATGGAACTCAGGTGATCTGAGTTCTAGTCCCTGCATGGCTATGGAGTGAACTGGGTGACTCTGGGCATGTCACAGACACTCAGTCAAACCTACATCACTGCATTGTTGTGGGGATAAGATTGAGAGCAGAAGGAGGCAAATGCTATAAGTTGAGTTTGTTATAAGAAAAAAAGTGGGATATACATCAAATAAACAAACAAACAGACTTTGAAGAAGTCTTTTACTTCTACAAATCAATGGCCAGATTTGCATGACATGCTAACCCCCCTGGGGATGCTGAGGGACTCTTAATTTTTGGCTTTACCATAGACTAACATGTCATCCACATTTGGACAAGGTGTTAAACAATGGTGTGCTAATTAATTCCAAGAACAAGGCGGTGGATAACTGAGGTGGTTGTAAGCCACCCTGGGTGACTTAGAAACCACTCTACAGTGGGAGCACCGGGCCTGAATGACACAGACCCAGTCAATGTCTGGGGGAATGTCAGAATCTGCAGGGAAGTTAAGTACATATCAAAAGCCAACTTTACCTTCACTTGATCCAAAATTACCAGTGGCCCATTTACTCCAGACACTGTTTTATATGCTGAAAGATAACCAAAAAGAGTTACTTAGACAGTGCAATGTATTTTTGATTTAACGCACGTACCAACAGAAATAATCAGGCATGGTTCTGCAACACGGAAGATGTACCTACATCAAAGACACTCTGTACCCAGCATCCTTGAGCAATCCCGTATTCTACACTTAAAAGGCCATCACGGAGAGAGATCACAACCAGCTGGGGCATGTTAAAGGAATGTCACTTGTTCAGGAGTGACAACTATTGTGACATGGCTGAAGTGACCTTGAGTGTTTCCTCAACATACTATTTTTTGTATTTTGCACCCTGCCCAATACAATATCCATCACAAAAAAGTTGTTGAACCTCCTTTCAAACTCAAGGGATGACAGTTATTGTCCAGTCTGGAAGAACCAATCAAATTTCAGGAAAAATGGGTCACATTTTCAGGCAGCTCTCGCTAGTCCTAGTTATAATGTAGCCTTACAAACACTGATGTTAGGCCCCCCGTTTATTCACCTGTTAATAATAGTTACATCCCACCTTTCCCCACAAGGGACCCAGAGCAGCTTACAGAACTCTTGCTATTTCATCCTCCTAACAACCCTGTGAGATAGGTTAGGTTGGAAATTCATGACTGGCCCAAAGTCACCCTGTGGGCTTCATGACTGAATAGAGATTGGAACTCAGATCTCCCAAGGCCCAGTACAACAAAATGCTTGTCAGAGTCTGTGATAGCCAAGAACCTGACAAAACAGTGGAGCAATCCACAGAATAGAAGGGCACCTCCAACTCAGAAATTGGGCATAGTAACAGCTCAGTGTACAAAGCAAGAGATTTTATGCTACTGTACTGAACTTGCGAAGGCAAGTATCTTCCAGTATCAAAGCGGAACTTATAGTAGGCCTGATTTAATTTACCAGAAGAAATCTCACACCAACTCAATAGCTGCAGATCCCCAATAACCTTTGGGGCAAGAGCTCCAGCACAAAGCATTAAAGACAGCAGCACCGGTCACCCTGGTGGGCTCATTCAACTTTAAAAACTTGCATGTTCTTCATCCAAGAGCAATGAAATACAATCTGACCAATACTGGCTCAAGTTACCTACACCATTTCAAGTGCCTTGGAGATTGGAAGGCAACCAGACACTCATTTGGCACTTGGACTGGACTGAAGATTCTGACCACTGGGCTAAGGAGGCCTGCAGTGATGGGATCAGACAGACAACACACTGCCCTTTGTTCACTCTTTCAGATTCTGAACAGTGGCTATGACCCGCTCCTCTTGTCTGGGTCAACTCACACTTTCTGTCCTTAAGAAACATGTAATCAAGTGCCAATTCAGCCAGCAGGAGCCTCCAGAAAGAGGCAGGGAGGGAGAAAGGCTTCTAAACAAACTCATTCTATCTATTGCAGCAAGTGCTCCGTGTTCAGAGTCAGCGCTCTTGGGGGGAAGGCCTTTCATCCACCATTAAGCACTCCTGCACACCCTCCAGATAGGTCCATTTCCCCTAACAGAAAAGGCTGCTGCTGCTCTCTCCTTCCTGCTTTTCACAAGCAAGGAGACAAGTTTGGACTTCGTAACACATATGGATATGGGAACTTATTCTAACTAGTACTAAAGTGCTGTCTATTCCAACTAGTAGCAGCTCTCCAAAGTCCAAGGAACATAAGAAACTGTCTTACACTGAGTTATGCTACACTGAGTCCAATGTGTCAACACTGGCTGGCAGCGGCTCTCCAAGACTTCAGTTGAGAGTTTTTCCAGCCTTTCCTGGAGATATTGGGAATTGAACCTGGAAGACTCTGCATGCAAAACATGTGCTTTGCCACTGAGCCGTGCCCCCTTCCAGTCCTTCAAAGGGATCTGGCACAACCCTGCTGATTTTAAGTGGAGGGATGCTGCAAGCCAAAGCACACACTCTGTCACTGAGCGATGGGCCCTGTGGTAGTAGAAGCTGTGCGGGACAGAGAGAAGAACAGAGGAAAAGAAGCGAAAGATTCATGCTGTGCAGACAAATGTGCCATTCTGACTGATCAAAGCTTTCTTTCCCATAAATGACCAACCACCACACACCAAGAGTAAGTCTTAGCAGACCAGAATAGGATTCTCTGCAACATCTGGGATATGTTCATTGCAGTTGCTTTGTAATACAGACCTTAAACTTATTTAGCTGTATTTTAAGCTCAAGATCCTTTGTGCAACTCAATTGCCTCTCACAGTTCTGTAGATCAAGTCTTCTCTGTCTTACAGGGGGCAGCCATCAAGAGACATACCAAAGAAACAGATTTTTCCTACTCCGAGGAGCTGAGAGTGTTTACCTAATCTGTTGGTGTTGTTCACGGATGGCTCAGAAGGTGTGTGTGCCTTTCAAGAAAAAGGAGGCAGCACGAGATGCCCCAGCAAAAACCTTCATTCAGGACATCTGCTTTGCAGGCAACAGCCATTCTGCAAATGTGAGTAGCTAGTTTCCTTCCTGCTTTATGAAGGCAGGAAAAAAAGTGCACGAGGCAATCTGAAAAGTGCTTAAACAATGTGGATTTATTCAAAGCACCTGTAGTTCATTTTTTGTATTTAAACCTCCATGTATTCTTGGTAAGGTAGGATATTATGGTCATTTCTCTCACGTGTGAAGAGACCCAGAAGAGAATTTCTTACAAAAGCCTCTCCCTTACTTTCCCTCCAGGTAGGATGCCCAGACACCAGGAACAAAAGTGGTAGTTCTTTCATGGGATACCTGCCTTACTTCTGGAAGAACAGGTGATGGGGGGAGTGAGCAGTGTTGGTCTGTTAGCTGAAACCTGTCCTTGTAAATGCAAACCAGGCCATGGTCCTCACGGTCTGGAGTGACCTCTGGCTAACACACTCTGGTAGTATTCTCTACATGGGGCTGTGTTTGAAGGCAGGTTGGAAAGTATCAGAATAACTCTAATACTATGTTAGATATATTAGCTACTGATTTCTTTCTGAGTTCAAAATCAACTTAAACTGATGATTTTGACCTTTAAAACCCTGCATGGGGTGGGACCAGCATGGCTTAAGAATTGTCTCCAGTTATATTACATGGGACTGCCTGACCCTTAAAATCTTGCACTGAAATCATGCTCTATGCTCCCCACTATTAGATATCTTACAGATGGGCATGAGAGACAGAGCCTTCCCTGTGGTAGCCCCGAGTTTTGGAGCACTACAAGGTTGTTTATCTGGCTGCACTGCAGCTGACCTCCTGGATCACTTCCAGTAAGTGCTTTAAGATGCTGCCTTTTGAACTTGCTCCTGTGATTGCTACTATTCTGTTTTAGCTGTAGTTATCTTGAGTGTGATTTTGAGAAATACTAATTACATAATTCACTTTATGATAATTATTAGTGATCTTAAGTATACTTTTAAACAAAAGGGTGATTTAAAAATTACTGTAGAATAACTAAAAACAGGCAAGGTGGGAGGAAGAAGGATCTAGCAAGAAAAAAGAAGAATCCGTTTTCTCCCCTGGAGAATTACTTTTCTACAAGATGTCAAGTGCTCCAGCCAAATCACACATGACCTGTGAAAAGAGAAGCATTTTAGCAAGCTGAAAGTCTTTATCAGGCTCACAAGGTAGTAGGAGTAATCATTAATCAACTGTCTCTGGAACCAAGGGAAAGGATGAGCAAACCAGATTATTCTTAGAATAGGCTACATGACTAATGAGTAGGGTGCCAATCCTATGCAGTTACCTGGGAGGAAGTCTCATTAACACCAAGTGTCCTACTACCAAGTCAACAGCGTTGTTCTGTAAGGCTGCAAGTCTGAGAATGCTTACAACAAACTAAAACTCACTGAACAAAGGAAAACTTACTCCTGACTAAAACATGCAACAGACACAAGTCCCAGCTAATCACTTCTTAACAGTACCTGGAAGTGTAACTGTGTATGGTATCTGCCTGCTATAATACAAAACAGTATCTTCTAACCCCTTAAAAACTAAGGTAAATTGTGACATTGGCAGACAAAGCACCCCCTTCACCAGTTGTGTGAAGTATTAGCCTTAGACCAACCTTGTACAGGAGCCCATAAAATATACTAGGCTGAAAAGTTATTTTGTAACCTGCTAAGACGCTAGTAGATGGGCGATGCAAGCTACCAGGCCAGGGCAGTCAATATTTCTGAGAAACCACCCTGGGCACCATCACAAAATGACTACTATAACAGGTGTGGCAAAGGACCTGTGACCTGCCCAAGAGCTTGACTATAAAACAGAGGTGGGTCCACATTCAAACCACATTCAAACCCAGTTTTCAGCGCCAATAGAAACAATTTCACAGCAATTCCAGCTGTTGTAAGATATACATAAACCGTGGGAGGCAGAGGATGCCCTGGTGGATGCCAACCTGGTGCCAGATTGCACACCCTATGCTAGCTTCTCAGAAGGTTAGGAAGAAACCAGCCAGGCAGGCAAAAAATCAACCAAACCAGCAAAAAACAAAACCAAAAACAAAACCACCACCACCCCCCAAAACCCCACAAAAACACCAACCTGTCATCTACAAAGTGGAAGAAGGATGGAGCTTCCTGCCCGATTCCAGCTGGCCTGCTCAGTATTGCTACTAGGTATAGCGGAAGCCAGCCTGCTCATCCAGCACAACATTGGTTGCCTACAGCAGCCAGACAAGTTGTTAAGTATAAAGATGTCCCACAGAATCTGGCAAGATTTCTTTTCTTGGATCTAGAAAGGGCAGAGGAATCCAAGCCAATGCCTGCCCCCTGCAAGATAGTATCAATTTAGATTGTAACTGGTACCACACTCAAAATATTAAAACATTGGTTCACTGTTTAAAAACCAATGTAAAACTTGCTGTCTTCTATTTGTATGAGAGACCAGTATGAAGTAATCCAAAATATGGTTAGTAGAAAAATATTAACCTGGATTTGTTTATGACAGTTAAGAAAGTAAATGATAGCTGTGTTATGTCAACAAGATACTTACGTTGTCAGTAAGTAATAACAGTGTTTATTGATACATATACAGTTTACTTTGAAGAT